TATATATATATATATATAACTCAAGTGTGTATATATATGTACACGGGTTGTAGTTTCAAATTATTACACCTTATTTGTAAGTATATTCCATGTAAATTAGGGCACATATGATTATTATGTTCCATTAATATTCCATTCTCTGCTAAAACGACTGCAAACAAAAAAAAAAGGCCCACGCAATGTGAATGAAACGTAGCATTGTATTCTCACACTTAGACAGTAATAAGAAAAGTCAGAACAGGGATAAATGTGCTCTGAAAGGATAGGAAACTTCTATTTAACAAAGTATGTACGATTTCTTTATTTAAGTGTAAGTGGAATAAAAAGCCGAGAAACAGTTTTGGAAAAGAACCGCTAGATTTATACCATTTTGAAAACAACACAAATAGCATAAAAATACAGAATAAAACAATTAACAAGAAATAAATAGATTTACATTTACATCGCTAAACTTATACCTTCATTTTTAAAACATCAGCACGAAGTTTTGTGTTAAAAAGTATATTCTATCTATACAAAGAACTAATAAGTTCAGTAGTTTCTTTCCAGCTAGTCTCTCGTCGCTCAAAAGAGGAGCTAACCACATTTAAATCTATTCACAAAATTCTTGATATAAGAGCTCTATTATCTTCTTCTCTGACATCTAACTTATAGTTAACTTTCTGGTTAATAGTAACGAAGTGAACAGTTAAGAATTTGGTACTTTTATAATTTTAAAACAGACAGCGGAAGTCCAAAAATCAAAAATGATAACCATTATGTCTACTAACACATGAATCAAATTTTTCTAGTAGCTTTCAAAGACAGCCTAAGCAGAAAAAGATGCTAACGGAACTCACAGGTCATGGACCAGTCATTCCTAGCCAAACCAAAATTTCTAGTTCCTCACATACCCTCATGAGGAAAAGCATCAGTTATGCTCAATGCTTTCAGCTTCCAACTTATTCTGGTAACAATGTCTTTTCTCTTAATAAGTACTTTTCATCTAAGCCTACTAAAAACAATCACCCAGTGGGAGTCCAACCCTACATGTATGGTAACATTTGCTATCCTCTCAGATTTGAACCCCTGAAAGCAACTTTTACTTGCTCTGTTCTCACTTACCTGTCAGATTTTCTCCATTTAAAGTATAATATATTGTTTGCTGTACTCATTAATACAGCAGCATAGTCGATGATGTTCTAAACTTATAAACTTATATGCATGTCTTGTTTTTGCAGGTACGTTTGAAACAGCGAAAATTCTACTTATTGTCTTACGATACTATTTTCCTGTATCCATACAATCTTAAGGATGAAAATCCCCTTTAAACGTATAATAGTCTAAACTACTATCCATTTGTTTACATAGAAACCAGGCTCGCGAAAACAATTCCACGTGCAATTTAATCATAATTTGACTGGACTCTAATTCATTATTAAAACTGTATGTTTTAACACGTATTTGAACTTCCACTCCTTATGTCGCTGCTACTGTATCTAAAACAGAAAATAAAGGTAAACACCACGTATGGTGATACCGGAAAGTAAGGGGATATCTAATTCAATACGAACAGTTAATATGCTAATTTAGTTTGTGCCTATTTTAGTATTAAAACGCTCAGTGCATACCTCCCAGAGTAACAACAGAAAGATAAGAGGAGAGGAGGCTATAAGAGTACCTAGCAGTACATCGAGCAGGAAACCATGACGACAAATAAGGCGAGAACAACTCGACTAACCTAACTCAAAGCGATATCACCCGTAATGAAAATAATTAGAAACAGTGAATTAAACCTGCTAAAAAAGTGTCTAAAAATACTAATGAAAATAATTTGCATCTTAAAAAAGAGAAGACATGACGGAATGTAGCTTCATAAAACGTTTTTCATAACTGCTAGCAATTTATAAAACTGGTGTTTATAATTAATTTCAGATATTCGTTACAAATGCCACGTTTTCTACCTTTATGTGTTATCACTAGTCCTTTCTTTCCACAGTTACATGTAATACATCACTCAAGCCATTGATAGTATGAATCAATAGATTGTTCAGTTGGTGGAGAAATTCGTACATAGTTTTGGGAATAAACTAAATAACTACACCCAACTGTAATTCAAAGTTTTATGGTCTTGGCTATAAGTTAGACAAAAGGCATTGACGATTAAAAACAAACAAACATCAACATTATTTTTTCTTCCTATTAACATTTGTCTGTTCTCTCTGTCTATATTAATAATTGTCACCATTCTTTTAGTCTATGCGTCTGTTTCCAAAGCAGATTATCGAACATTCTATATGTTTATTATTAAGAACATTGATATTTTAATAATAATAAGTGACAATTAACCAAACGATAAGTGACAATTAATCAAACAATAAGTAACAATTAATCAAACAATAAGAGACAATTAACCAAACGATAAGTGATAATTAATCAAACGATAAGTGACAATTAACCAAACGATAAGTGACAATTAATCAAACGATAAGTGACAATTAATCAAACAATATGACAATTAATCAAACAATAAGTGACAATTAATCAAACGATAAGTGACAATTAACCAAACGATAAGTGACAATTAATCAAACGATAAGTGACAATTAACCAAACGATAAGTGACAACTAACCAAACGATAAGTGACAATTAATCAAACGATAAGTGACAATTAATCAAACAATAAGTGACAATTAATCAAATGATAAGTGACAATTAATCAAACAATAAGTGACAATTAATCAAACAATAAGTGACAATTAATCAGAAAAATAAATATATTATAATCATACGGACTAATAACGCTTAAAACCGTGTTTTGATACCCGTGCTGGGCACTGCACAGATAACCCATTTTGGTGTTTTGTGTTTAAGTACAAAAAGGAAAACAGTATGTGAGTGTTTTTTTATGGCAAAGCCAGATTGGGCTATCTGCTGTGTCCACCGAGTGGAATCTAACCCCTGATTTTAGCGTTGTCAATTCGTAAACTTACCGCTGCACCACCGACGGACAAAAAACAAACAGAAATATCATAATCATGGTGTAGCTTACAAAGTAAACATAATTAGCATTTTTTATGATATAGGTAAGAAAATGTATAGTAGTGTCATAGCAAACAGGGTGTAAACTTAGCCGAATAAACAAACATTTGATAATGATAGAGCAAACAATACGAACTTTTAATCACAGCATAATAGAAAAAAATAATTAAAATGTCAGGATCCAAGACGTAGATCATGAACTAGCTGACAATACACCCAATAATATCATAGCAGTCATCCTAACTATAGCATAGTTAGACAAAATAAGCACTTACTACTATCATGGAGTAAAAGTTGGATGGTAATACAACTGACAAAATAAACACCTTGAACATGAAACAACGTTATAGCAGACAAGGTGAACATTTCATTAATCTGGAACTCATAAAACCATACTTAACTGCATCATTTCAAACAAGACTAACTTTCATAACGTATATTAACAAATGATTAGTTAAATGTATTATAAAATGAAAAATATATACTTCACCGTGATATAGTAGATGGTTTGTTTGTAATTAAACACAACGTTACACAATGGGTTTATCTGTGCTCTGCCCACCACGGGTATAGAAACCAGGTTTCCAGCGTTGTCCGCAGATGGAAAGAGCAACTAGTAACTAATGCCATATCTGATGAGACAGAATTTAATTTTAATTAAAATTAGTTAATCCTACAAGATATGTTAAAATTAGTTAATCCTATAATATATGCATATATTATAGGATTAACTAAATTTAACATATATTATAGGATTAACTAAATTTAACATATATATTATAGGATTAACTAATTTTAACGTATATTATAAGATTAACATTTAATCATAAATATGTACTAATAGTATTTTACTTCCAGTTTTGTTTTAAATAGAAATATTACAATAATACGTTTTTCATAACTGGTTTATAGTTTTAATTTTCTATTTTTATAACCATTGTCGCGTTTCAGATCCTTACACTGTCAAAGGCTTAGCGCTCACCAAAACTTGGTAGTGGCTTTAATTGTACACTCTGCCTTGCTTCTTGTAATCTCTACTCCAGTAGTTCTGAAGGAGCCAGCGCCATCCTACAGACAAATTGTAAGTTACTATGTCTATTATATGTGTTATTCTAAATTTAACTATTTTTTAAAAAATAATTTGCAGAGATTAGGTTTCATAATGACCAAAAAAAAATCAAAGTTTTCTCTAAATAGTTATCGATAGTGCCCGATTCTTAGCGTAAAGGTTTTGGTTTTCTTTTTCGTTTAGGACTGGCTGTGTAAAACAATTATTTCTCTCAAAATGTACGCAGCCATGGCTAGTATCAACTGGATGTTTGTGGAAGGCTTATTACTCCACAGTCGGATTACAACTTCCGTTTTCCAACAAGACGTTCCGTTCACAGTTTATTACATCATTGGTTGGGGTATGGTTTCAGTACAACTACAAAGAATAACCTTAATACTAAGTAGACCTTATCACGTACTTTGTTTTAAATTAAAAATATGTTTTTCTCTCTAAAGTTTAACATAACCGTAAGAAATTTCCTAAAAGGTGTTTATTTATTATTATTATTATAAAACTTTTCGCTTCACTTTGAATGATTATAAACATAATGGTTATAAGATAATGTAATTTATCAGAAAAGTGTATTGTATTATATCAATACTTTATAAATATATTGGTCTCAATGAAATTAACTTTGTAGATAAAGAACACTTAATTTTAACCTGTGTAAAACATATTACAAGTTGTGCTGGTCTCAAATGTTTGTCTTTAAGTATTTTTGAAATAATATTTATGTATATATGCTAGCAATACCATACGACTGCAATGTATAATTAAGCTTTTATAAATCGCCTCAGCTTTAACCTTTTTTTTATTATTTACATAACCTATAGCTGATGAAAAATGTGGTCTAGCTATACGTTTTCATTAAGTTTTTTTTAAATAGTGTTTTCTATTTTTCCAGAAACAAAAGATCAACATTTATACATTAAGGCTAAAAAAAGTGTACTTAATAGAGTATAAATCTATGTCTGGATTGTTAGTAAACTTATCGTTATAGGTATCCCTACAACGTTCATAATTACGTGGTGTTTAATCATGTCACGTGTATTAAATACGATGTGCTGGGAGGGCTACGGTACTTCCGAGTACGTTTGGATTTTGACAGGTCCAATGCTGACAGTTCTGTTGGTACGTTTTTTAATAACTAGTTCATGCCTTTTTATTGTATTTTTGTATCTTTTTACTGTAGTTTTTTTAGTTTACAGCTTGTATTTCCAAGTATGAATATTCTGAAAATATGAGTGAAATGTCCTTAAACCAGTTTTAACTTAACAAAATAAAAATAGCCCATTGTGTAGCTTTACATTAAACAGCAACAAACAAACAAATGTTAATGATTATTTGTATTTTTAACGCTTGGGTGTACATGGAAACAGTTAAACTTGTACGCCGTCTCTCGACTATTTTAAAACTATACTGATTTTAAACCAATTAGCAATATGTTTCTTTTGACACTTATCTTTAAGTAACAATTTAAAATTTAACTTAAACGATAGATGGCGACAAACTCACCAATACAAAATAGTTTATTATATATTTGTTTGATTTGATTGTTTGTTAGAAGTTAAGCACAAAGCAACACAATGGGCTATATGTGCTCTGTCCACCACAGGTATAGAAACTCGGATTCTAGCGTTGTAAGTCCGCTGACATACCGCTGTGCCACAAGGGAGGATGAATTTTTAATTAGGAAATTTTTAATAAGCATCCCTTGAAATTTATTTTCATTGAAATATCCAAGGTTTACGAAAATCTGATGATTACATTATGTCTCCTTTTTTATAAGTTTTATCAGTTCTTACCTTACGCTTGACTTCATCAGGAAATCTTACGTCTTTTGTCAGATCAATACAACCTTCTTGATCAGCATTGGATTACATTATTTCTTCTTTTTTATAAGTTTTTATCAGTCCTCACTTTACGCTTGACTTCATCAGGAAATCTTACGTCTTTTATCAGATCAACACAATCTTCTTCATCAACATTGGATTACATTATTTCTCCTTTTGAACCCTAGTGGCACAGCGGTATGTCTGCGGATTTACAACGCTATAAACCGGGTTTCGATACCCGTGGTGGGTAGAGCACAGATAGCCCATTGTGCAGCTTTGTGCTTAATTCCAAACAAATAATTTCTCCTTTTTTTATAAGTTTTTATCAGTCCTTACCTTACGCTTGACTTCATCAGGAAATCTTACGTCTTTTGTCAGATCAATACAATCTTCTTGATTAACATTGTTCGAATCTTGGTAACGAAACTGAGGGCCAGCATCTCCGTTGAAACAGCTCAAGTTAGGTATTATTGAGGAATGAATATATTTAATAATAGAGTTTCAATTTAATTCTTTCTTGATTATTTTCAAGAAATAAGCTATATTTTGTAAGAAAGTACATATTTTATTTCATTAATAAATAATGCTAATTTGTGCTACATTGCGTGTGATGGAACTGCTAGATGTTGTTTAAAAAGATTCAATTGGCTGAATCAGTAATTTATGTTAACGTTAAAAATATTCTATTCGTTGAATCAGTAATTTATGTTAACGTTAAAAATATTTTATTCGTTGAATCAGTAATTTATGCTAACTTGAAACATTAACATAAATAATAAATATCTTGTGTGACCTGTATATAATAGTTTCTATTGATACAATTTAAATTCCCTTTTTCGGCTTTAATAAAGTGTCTTCAAAACTTATCCACGTGATATTTAACATCTTATTCGAGTTATTTAGCTTATATGTAATTTTCCGTAATTAAGAAATTAAATATTATATCGAAACGTTCAAAGTGTCAAGAATAAATCAAATTAATAACTTAAACATTACATAAAATATGTCATCAGAAACGGTTTATATTTAGACGTACATTTTCTATTCATTATAATTTTACTAAAAAAACAGATCAGCTACTAAAAAACCGACTGTGGAAGCTGTTATCTAAATAAAACCACGGACTATAATTTCAGGTAACTTACACAAACGTGTGGCAAATCTAAGTAATTCTATTTTTAAACAAAGCAACATAACTTAAACTTTGTTTAAAAGTATCTATTTTTTTAACTTAATTTCGTTTATTTCCTCTGTAACTCCTAGGAAAGCGATAAAGGCTACAGTTCTTCTGTTTCCTCTCCTTGGAATCACTCATCTTTTATTCTGCATCAATCCTAGAGGAGGTTTGGAAAGGGCGTACATGATCACCAATGCTGTAATGCAATCCTCGCAGGTCCATATCACACTACAACTTAATTAATAGAAGTAACTTTAAAGTAATTATAATTAACAAGTGACCCATATTTTCTGGCAAACAAAAATCCAGGAAGTCGAAAAATTAGTGGAACATAATGTCACCTTCCGCATACACATAAATACAGGAAGGAATGGAACTTGCATATAACAGTGTTCAAACCAATATAGCGATTGGAACTTGAATAAGTATATATATATATATGGTTTAGGTGGTTTGGTTTGATTGGTAACAAGTATAACGCTACAACGGGTATTGAAACTCAATTTTTAGTGTCATAAGTATTTAGACTTATCGCTAGTGGCTATATATCAATAACATTTAAGCGATCAATTGGTTATTTGTACGATTCCAATTCGATTTTATCTTTTTCCGAAAGTTTACTTGCTCTTGGATAAGTTGATATTAGAAAATTTGTTCCATATATTAATCATAGTAATCTTGGGTCTAATTTCTACATCTTAAAATCCATTTAAATTTTGTAGTTATTAAAAATACGGATTGAAATATGTTTTAAATCTAAAACTAGAAATACATTATAAGAACGATTTCTTTTATATGTGATTCTGTGGCAATAGTGAAGTCTCAAAAATTGATAATATTATGGCCTAATATATATGTGTAAAGTAACACTCAAACGATACATGTTTACTTCACTTTTGAATTCTTCCCAACATTATGTATGAAACAACTTGAACTTTTCCATGTAGACTTTTGACAGAATATAAATGAATAACATATGCGTGAGAAGAGCCAAAGGTATGTGGATCAAGTGGTTTTGGTTCTCACAGGATTGACTGAAGTGGAGTTCTTGAAAATTGATATTAACATCTCAGGATCTATTTAGAGCAATAATCGAAATTTAAATTTAGCAAATTTCTGAATTTGAGCTCCCATGTGTGTTAGAAGTGGTTTTGAGGGCTCTAAAAACAAAATTCGCGGATTTATATTTAATATGAAGGTGCTCGTTCAATAAATGTATTATTGTAAAAACATTGAGAACTTTTCAATTTTGCTTCCCATATTTGGATCAAGGGGGGGTTTGGGGGGTCAAGATTGACTACATGAACTTCATAAAAATGACAATAACATGTAACTGGTCATTCGAAACAAGGATTTAAAATATTTGACGTAATTTTTGTTTGCTATAAGTTTTCACTGGTAATTTACCAGTGAGATCATATTTGTTCATTAATTCTATTCACATTTGAAATAAGGAGATTCTTAGCTCTTTATGACGGTGAAATCCTAGTATAAAATTAGGCAAGAAAAGTACAAAAGTTGGTGGTGGATGGCAATGACTAGCTACCTTCCTTCTATTCTATCAGTTCAAAATTAGTCCAAACGTTTGTCCACAAGTTGGTGGTGGGTGTCAATGACTAGCTACCTTCTTTCTATTCTATCAGTTCAAAGTTAGGGACGGCTATCTTTGCATGAATATCCGAAACAAAACAAAAATAACTTTCCTATTAACATATGTATGTATAAAGATTCACGCGCTAGATACTAATTTTAGAATTCACTCATCTATGATTTTGTTACACCATAGAAATGACCATTTTTGAGTTTTATATTCTGAAGGCGTTTTTACTCATAGACCAAATCTGTCTCTGATTTCATAAGTTATTTTCACATTTTCTAGTATTATAACATAATTCATATTTGTTACCCTTATAACACTCGGAATTAATATAATGATAATAAGACGAGTACAATTGGAAAGTACTGTATAGTTGTGTATTTGTGACTTAAGTTTTATTTATTCGCTTTTTTGTAATATCAGCTTCCTGCAAAAGCTTTTTGTTTATCTTAAAGACTATTGAACATAACTATTGATGTTTTTGATTTCAGGGTCTTTTCTTAGCCGTTCTCTACTGCTTTATGAACTCGGAGGTAAGAATGAAAGGTTTCCTTTTTAGAGGATAATATATCCCATTTTGAGTTTCTGGAGGTGCCAGTACTTGATGTCTATCTATTTCTTACACTGTGAGTTTTCTTAATTATAATTTTGTGCAATTGATTCATGCTATTTAGCAAATTAATTTATTTACAGCATTACGTTCAGCCTGCAATCTTCTACACAGTAATTTGAGGCATTCTAATAGTGAAAAATAACTATGTAATTTTAAAGTGGAATTTTACTAAATGTAAAATTAAAATATCCATACATTTCGTTAAAATCACTGACGCATAAAAACTGCTTTAAAAATGCAAACACCTAACCAAAATAAGGAAATTAGATCTATTTTTGACTTTAAACATGCAACAAGATCTGTGAACATTTTTGACAATGTTTCCTAGGTTCAGAATGCATTGCGGAATGCATATCAGAGGGCAGCACTTAGAAGAAATCCTACCCATCATTCATGTAGAAACCGAGGTACGTCTTACATCCTAGGTAAAGTAAATATGATTATATACTTTTACATAACGAGTGCCCAGTATCGTAGCTTTCATATCTTTTATTCTAACCAGTCTGAACATATCTTTGTAATTTCCAGGATTTTCTTTAACACGAAAACGCTCGTGCGGAAGAGATGCAGAGAAAGAAAAAAAATCAACATCAGTTTTCTCGTTTCTGAAACAGCGTGGTCAGGACATCCGACATAGCCACCAGGTTGTAATTTATTCAGGCGACACAGACGAGTTAGGAAGAGTCTAATAAGCAGAAAAAAGTATATATATATATATTGTAACTGAAAACCGAAAATGGTTTTTAAACACCAGCTCAGAAATTCATTTTCTATATAGTAACCTCATATATCGCTCTCTATCTCTCTCTAAGTGTTGAATTTGTTAAGGGAGTCTGGGTCATTCTTCTTTTGCTTCAAAATAATAATAAATAAAGAATCTCTTGTTGTTGTTTTTTCACTTGTCACACGTTTTCTTTACTTCCTTATTCCTTTCTTTTTACGTAAGACTAGAGTTACATCCTGTGGGACTTGCAATGGATAAATATGCATACTGATATATTTTTTTTTTAAGTTTGATGGCCATCAGATTTGAATTTATCTTCTCGGTTAATTTTGTATCCGCATTTTGGTGTGATTTTAATCTGGCGGTGGATGAATTACGATGAAACATTTTGAATTGGATATCAAAATTGTTTTAAATATATCAGTATAACTTACAACTGTTAAATTTGATTGTGAAATATTGTTTGTTACATAAAACGCCTGGAGTACTTATATAAAGCTAAGTAGAGATCAACATCTAGTTTCCTTTGTGGCTTAAGATCAGGGGAAGGTACCTAAAACAGGAATATTTTCGACTATATAATGTCTGAATTAAGTATAAAAATCCTTAATGGAAAGGGACTTCAGGATCTAATGGAATAACATAGCTCAAGATGATACTTATCTTAAATCAGCTGTGAATCATTCGAATAAATCAGGAGAGCTCTAAAAATACTAACTAAATTTCTTCAAGTTATCAGAAGTCTCCTAAGAATAATTCAAAACGACACCTTTTTCAACGTAGAATCAGAATTTCCGTGACTTATCACACTTGGTTCTATTAATATATTTTATCTTCAATGTGTTAGAAATGGCATAAAATATAAAGTCGTTTTCTACAGTGTAATATAATAAAATTATCATTAATTTGGAGTATTCAAGTTTAATTACTGGTTGTAATAGGAATTCATTCATCAGGTATTCAGTAGAGATTAACTGCAATACATAAGAAGTCGGTAACTCAATATAATTATCAACACACAACAAAAATAGTGAACAATGCTTAAGGAATTTAAGCAAAACTTTTATATCAAAACACCTGCTCTTTCGTTCGGTTAAAAATGTCATAAGATCAGTTGGTACTATTACGAAAGATTAAATATATCCTCATTTGATTACCCCTGTCTCAACTGCTAGATTATTGTTATTGTCAAATTAAATTAACATTACTAATGTTCTTTGAAATACAATATTGTACTAGAACTTCAATTTATTTTAAAAGTTACCGTATTTTTTTAGGTTTTAGGCTTAAGCCATTTTCTTGCTATCGTCTATAGTATAAAACTATATATTGTCACTGAGCAAAAAAATAATTTATGGTGCTTGAGCAGTTACAAAATATAAAGAGGTTCAGCTGTCAGTGAATAATACAATATTTACGTTAACTCACGATCTCTATGTTTAAGAAAGAACCAACACAAAAGACAATAACGTGATGAAAACTTCCTAAACTTGATTGAGACAGCGGTCAGTTTACGGATTTACAACGCTAAAATCAGGGGCTCGATTCCCCTCAGTGGACACAGCAGATAGCTCGATATGGCTTTGCTATGAAACACAGACAAAATGTTTGCATGAATGGTTCAGTAATTACATTCATTATTCATTAATTTCGCGTATTTGCTCCATATTAACATAGAAGGACAGAGAGTGGCCTAATTGCTAGCTTGCTCGAACTGTCAATTCGAAGGTTCATGGCTCGCGACTCATTGCTGCAGAACCATTCTCTGCACTGTGAGGCACCAAAGGAGTGACGGACAAATCCCATTGTTCGGTTTGACAAGAATAGTTTAAGAGTTTCCAGTGGATATATACTGTTGACCAGCTGTCTTCCCTCTAGTCTAGCAGTTTTGTGTTGAAGTAACTCGGGATTATACGACTTAACAAAAATAAACAAGACTGAGATTTCACTTCTCTCTTTATTTTGCTTCAGTAAACGATCCTACAATTTTACTGATTGTCTTGCTCCCATTTCCTTATCATTTCACTGAAAAGCGCTGATATATGTGTGTGAAGGATTCGGTATATTTCCAAGCAATTCGCGACAACTGTTATTTTCAACAGTGTTTGTCACTCCACCAAATTAACGATGCTGTATATATATATATTGTCACCTGAAATTGAAGGATGACCAAAAAATTCATATATATGGATCTACCTTACATAACACCAAAAATTTATTTTTTTTATTTTTTTACTTTCAGTTTTCAATTCTATAAACAGCATTTCATGTTTATTAGGCTTAGAGTGCATTATTGAAATAAAGGAATCCCTTCAAACTTGAAAAAGAAAACATAAAAATGACGCAACGTAGTATAAAACCGAAACTTTGCTGATACTGAGCATGGTCAATCCAATCATCACTTTATGTATGAGAATATTCAAAGGCTTGGATAACAAAGTGAATGTCACAAGAGAGCAACAAAGGAATAATAGTTTTATAATATCAAATACAAGAAACCTTAATAAGGACTTAAACAAAGATCACAAAAGAATATTTGTATTATAGGATCAGATATAAGTAGCCTTAAATAAGGACTCAAGCAGAGATTACGAAGGAATAATTGGTTTATTGGATCAGATACAAGAAGCCTTAATAAGGACTTAAGGAAAAGCCATCTTACAATTGAGCTGAATAATATATAAACTGTGAGAAACAAATCATGAATGAATCTTGTTTTTCGTTTTATTACTTGTGTGTGATTATTTTGCCCGTATATTTTAACATCTACGATTTCCTCAAACTGTGTAAGAATACTGTGCGGAAGTTTGGTGGTTAACGTTCACAACATTGTTGTAACAGTAGTAACTGTCGCGTGTTAATATCATCTAATTTTTTGTAAGAGTCCGCTTAATTCAGCCGTTATCCTCTTTGTGAGCTTATAACGATCTAAATATCAATATTTTCAAAAATTTCGTAAGGATACAAATACAAAAAAAAAGGTTTATCGTATCCTCAAAAATGGAATTTCAGGAGTGGTATATCGTGTTGTTTGTTTGTAGTTAAACACAAAGCTACACAATGGGCTATCTGTGCTGTGCCTACCACGGGTATAGAAACCCGGGTTTTAGCGTTATAAGCCCCTATGGTCAGTACAAGTGTTAACGACAACAAAACAATCGTGAAATAAAAGTAACAACGGTATGATAAAGCGGAATAAACTGAATAAAATGTGAGTCCTTACAAGATACAGCTTTTATAACAAGAAATAATTTATCATTAAAAAGTTACAACGTATCGATCGCTGGTGCGTTCATTTTCAAGTACACAAGTTTTAATGATAAAGAATGTTGTTGTTTTTTATCTAAGTCAACATTCAACAATATAACGACTTATTTAAATTAGATAATCGTTACTGTGCATACCAATTATGTTGCTTTTTTATCTAAGTCAACATTCAACAATATAACGACTTATTTAAATTATATAATCGTTACTGTGCGTACCAATTATGTTGTTTTTTATCTAAGTCAACATTCAACAATATAACGACTTATTTAAATTAGATAATCGTTACTGTGCATACCAATTATGTTGCTTTTTATCTAAGTCAACATTCAACAATATAACGACTTATTTAAATTAGATAATCGTTACTGTGTATACCAATTATGTTGCTTTTTTATCCAAGTCAACATTCAACAATATAACGACTTATTTAAATTAGAAAATAGTTATTTTGCATACCAATTCTGTTCTTTTTTATCTAAGTCAACATTCAACAATACAACGATTTATTTAAATTAGAGAATCGTTACTGGGCATATCAATCCGTGTAAATTGACAGATTATTTACTTATATATATAACGAGGCGTTTGAATATATGGAAGATGTTGTGTGAAGGATTTGGGTTAGATTAGGAATATCTGAGGAAATAACAATCAAAGGCATATATAAAGTTGTAGTAAATATTTGTGGGATTGTTTGATTTCGTTAATAAGGCTTCTCTGATCTTTCTTCTGTTAATGTCAAGTTGTTTGTGTTCATATTTTCATGGATGTCACAATGGGGATTTTTTATTGATTCCTAAATCTAATGCTCAAGTTACGTTCTGTTTCACTTATGTAAAATGCTGGGAAATTATTACACGGTATTTTTTAAATGTTTCCTGGCAGGGTGGATTTGTCACGTAATTTTCTTAAGATATGTTTAATTTATATTCCAGAGATGAAAACTAACTAGTTGAACTAACCAGATGTTAGACCGTCAATCAGCATCACCCTACTACCCACCATCCACGTTAGGGTATTGACAGTCACTTTTGCAACACACTCACAATTTAATGTAGGTAGAATATTTTGTGGTCTCGCACGAATTAGATCCCGACTCGCTAGCTCCAGAGCTCTACCATAGGGACAACCTACTCCCAGACTACTTTTAATCAATTTTATTGCATTTCCACTTTTTTAGCGACTTCCTTCCTGTTAATCCTCGTATCACTTAAACCAACGTGTTCCGAATGAATGCTTCCGTTCAATATCTCAGGTCGAGCTCCGTGACTTATTGAGAGAATCGTCCACCTTTTTTTATTTAACTACGCTTTGCACGACCACTATTTTATGTTATTCTATTCTGCACAACTATATCTTAAATCTTTGAAATCATTCTTGCATGCATCCGAGTGTACGGTTTAGAGCCAGTACCAATTTATTAATGTATTGTGCTTAGAGGTTTATCTTTTTTTATCTTTTTATTGGTAATAACTCCACGATAATCTAATTCAAAGCGTTCCAGTAAAACATATAAGCTTCAAAAAACCTTGTCTTGGGGATATAAGAGGAATAATATAATCAGTATACAACTTTTTCTTTTCTTTTAGGAACATACATTACTCTTCTAGTTAGTCTTTTCAATATAAAATTATAACCCAGGTATACAATCGCAGTTTTGTGATAGGTGAAGTCATGCTACGTAACAGTTAAAAT